CTTGTTACCTTCAGTGGTGGTGGCACTGACCTCGAGAAGTGTATGGCAGGGTTAAGGCGCAACGGTGGTCACTGCTACGATTTCCGTTGATCGACCTGTCTCTGACCTCAACGGATCAAAGTGTTTGACCTAACGGTGTTTCGTCAGTTTTCCAAACGTCCAATCACCATGTCTCTTAGCTGTCAGCTGCCAACTGTTTGGAATACTGTTTAAGTAATTGAAGCGGCACGCTTTGGGATGACATTTTGGGTTGACGCCTACTTTTCACTTCTCGTGTGTTTAAATTTGAGTAGTTTTGAGGTCGCACTCAATGATGCTGTTTATGAAATGAGTTCTTTCGTAAAAGCAAGTACTTAACAGTTCAGCAAGATCATCATTTCTGGCGTATTTCCTCTTGTGATGGTTATACTTATCTTTCGCTGACGACCGTCGCCAAGCTCGCGTTTAGAGTTTGCCCTGTAATAGTGAATTGATTGATCGATGTCTAAATGGTTTGACTTAATTAGCATCAGTAAAAATTGTGTATAATTTTTTGATACCTCATCCTCCCTCCTCATTGTGTGCTAGTCCTAACCAATAGCCACTCGCCGAGCTATACCGATATTACAACATTTTGGCACAGTCTCGCCGTAGGTATAAATGTTTGTTCCTTCTTCCCTAGTAGGTTTCGAAAGCGTACCTACTACTGTTTTCGTTGAATCTTTAGCACCACTGATACCTTAACTATGCGATGCTACTGTTCAGAAACAGTCTTTGATAGTAGTGCATGAGACTTTTTGTTTATCTTAGATTCTTGGGGCGCTGGGGGACTTTCAATGTGAATTTTGCCTCGTAAATTCTTTAACCTTTTCTTGCTATTACTCCGCACCTAATAATCTAATGTTTAGTCTACGGCGTAAGCATCAAAATATATTTATGCATTGTGATCTCATTTGCAGTGTCGTGGTGACTTCTGTTGGAGGTCCTGTTGACCTTCTCGTTTTACGGGCGCTTTGTATGTTAAACGTAAATATTCGTTGCTCGCTACCTCATTGAGGTCTGGCTAGAATTTGGAACCATCCCGGTACTCTAACTAGAAATAAAACGTTTGAAAAGAGTATGGCTCAGATTTCATGTTTTATTAATAGTTTATTCATATTATCGTAGTACTTCATATGAATCCGATGAATCCGTACCTCCGGTACTGCTGAGAGATTGAAAAGGGTTATGAAAGATTTGAGCGGTGGGTGGTGAAGCGACATATGGCCGAGCAATCGCTTGTTATGCGAACGCGATATACAAGTGGCCTCTTTTTCTGACCCTACAAATAGTTATTGCTCAAGAACAAGTTGCTTACGCGTGATACGACAAAACGCAGTGATTGGTCATCAGACGATCGGTTTCGTTCGTTCCGTCAGGGAGGTGTTCGTCCGCATATATGCCTCGACGGTGGGAAGGTGGCCGCTGCAGGGTCTTAAGTAGCAGAGAGCAGGTGATCTCGAATCAGTGACCTGCGGCACTACTACTTAGGCCCCTGCTGCCGGCTGGTGCTTTGCGAATGTTCGACTTCCACGTCCCTCTTTCGCCTGCTCGTTGACCATCTGAGGTTCACCCACGTGAGGCTGTACCCGGCCAAGTCGACTTCGACGCCTGACAGCTCAGTCAAACGAACCACTCGATCGCCGTTGCCACACAGTCGACACTGAACACGCACGACTAGCATTCAGTGTTGGTTTCGCGTTCGCCTTCGGATCAGCCTTCCAATGCGTCGTCGCCAGTCCGTCCGCAGGTGTCTCTTGCCTAGCTTCTGAACAAATACGTTCAGTTCGCCGGCTCGCCCGCCAGCTAGTGCTTTTGTGAAGCATGCGATGGCGCCA